AAAAAAACAAACAACCCAATCCAGAAATGGGCAGAAGACCTAAATAGACATTTTTCCAAAGAAGACATACAGACTGCCAACAAACACATGAAAGAATGCTCAACATCATTAATCATTAGAGAAATGCAAATCAAAACTACAATGAGATATCATCTCCCACCGGTCAGAATGGCCATCATCAAAAAATCTAGAAACAATAAATGCTGGAGAGGGTGTGGAGAAAAGGGAACACTCTTGCACTGCTGGTGGGAATGTGAATTGGTACAGCCACTATGGAGAACAGTATGGAGGTTCCTTAAAAAACTACAAATAGAACTACCATATGACCCAGCAATCCCACTACTGGGCATATACCCTGAGAAAACCATAATTCAAAAAGAGTCATGTACCAAAATGTTTACTGCAGCTCTATTTACAATAGCCAGGAGATGGAAACAACCTAAGTGTCCATCATCGGATGAATGGATAGATGATGTGGCACATATATACAATGGAATATTACTCACTCATAAAAAGAAACGAAACTGAGCTATTTGTAATGAGGTGGATGGACCTAGAGTCTGTCATACAGAGTGAAGTAAGTCAGAAAGAGAAAGACAAATACTGTATGCTAACACATATATATGGAATTTAAGGGAAAAAAATGTCATGAAGAACCTAGGGGTAAGACAGGAATAAAGACAGAGACCTACTAGAGAATGGACTTGAGGATATGGGGAGGGGGAAGGCTAAGCTGTGACAAAGCGAGAGAGTGGCATGGACATATATACACTACCAAACGTAAGGTAGATAGCTAGTGGGAAGCAGCCGCATAGCACAGGGAGATCAGCTCGGTGGTTTGTGACCACATAGAGGGGTGGAATAGGGAGGGTGGGAGGGAGGGAGACACAAGAGGGAGGAGGTATGGGAACATATGTATAACTGATTCACTTTGTTATAAAGCAGAAACTAACACACCGTTGTAAAGCAATTATACTCCAATAAAGATGTAAAAAGAAAAAAAAAAGTTGGAATGCTCAGAAAATAGTCATGCTGAAACCCTAAACAAAGAATATATTAAATTTTGCCATGCTTTTTTAGAACAGTTTAAAAAAACAACCATAACTGAAAGGGAACAGGAGGGATCCCTCAAAAGTAATATTGTCCAAAGTTTAAAACTCCCAATTTTTAAATAACAGGTACTTTGGGGAATTGCACATTAAATTCCCTAAACTGCCTACTGTTTCCAAATTTAAATATTTATGCATAAACTAGTGAACACTCCAAGCTCTTTTACTTGGTGGGGTTGCTCCCAATCAACATTTTGGTTCTGGTAGTGCTATAGAGCAGTGCTTGCAAGTGCAACTACTTGAAATTTTTATTTCAAAACAGAATGGAAAATTGAAATGTTAAAGTGCTACTAATAATGATATGATGTATGTATCTCTTAAAACTTAAAACTACTGAAGCAAACATGAAAATCATTAGATGTCCTGAAAGGGGGGAATCATATGCTGATTTAATTTCAGTGGTAAACTGTTCAAATATGAAAGGAAAAAAATGAAAGAACAAATATACAACTGAGCAAACACATAATTAAAGGGTATACTTAAGGATTTCTGCGATGGGAACTCCACTGTGTGTTTAAATCTATTGTTTGACCTGTACATTATATTTTCATACATTTTCAGGAATTCATTTCCCACTAAAATTGCTGACCACTTTACTGGGAGCAAGAAACCCTAAAAATAATTGATCCAATTAGTTTCACTATTCTGTGATTAACATAGTTTCAAATACTGAAGGAAATGATGCCAGCCAAAACAAACAAACACCCCGCCCCACAAAAAAAATGAACAACAGAAAACCATGGTAATGGAAGAAGAAAAAAATAAAAACAGTAAGCTAGGAGGGCCTAAGCTTGGCTACTGTGTGATTTTGTGTTTCACAGTATATTAAGGAAGTTAAATCAGACATTCCCTCGTATTTATTAGGTTTAAAACTCTAAGCCTTAAATAAATGCATTGTACTGCATTAAAATAACAGAAAAGGAAAAATAATCTCAGCTGAAACATGTGAATGTCCCACTAGCTGCCAAGACTTGAGCTACAAAGATAAATTGGATATGTTCCCCGTTACAGCTGAATATACAAGTTCTGAAATAAAAGCAACATGCTACTTTATCAGATAATGCTACCCATGAAATCTTACTGGTTTTAGAAAGGGGATGGAATTTTAATGAATCAGGGCATCTATTTTTGCTTTATTAGGCATATACAATCATAAGTGAAAACAAATGAAACAGACACTTATATAAATGCAATCGTAAAATAGTATTTTATTATTTTTAATATAGTGCTGTAACATTTTATAATATTGCATACTACTCAAATGTTGGTTTATTTAGTTTGGCAAGAATATCTTCCCCTCATCCCACTTCCCAATTAGAATTTAAAGATGCATTATCCTTTTAGAGATCCATCATATTGGCTCCTAATATGTTACATTTCATAAAACAGTAATGCTATGAACTAAAATGAGTAAAGGTTAACAACAATTACTTTGATTTCACAGTTTCACAAAGCAGCCAGTAGATTGCTGAATTTAGAACAGCAACAAAAATCCACGAAGACTTTGTATTATAATTACTTTATCCATAATGCTCCTTCTTGAGAGAAGAAAAAATATGAAGGCAAAGGTAATGCTTTGTCCAACAAAAGTCCTTTATCCAAAAAATCAACCTTTATCTGCAAATACGTTTTACAGTTACCAAATGATATGCTGTTTCTGTGCCAACAGATTTTATCACTTTTTTTTGGTTTTTATTTTTTGCTTGCTTGTTCTAGTGCTACCAGCAAGTGAACAAAATGGCACTAAAAATTAAGTTCTAGGAACAATTTTCAAAATAAAACTTAGAGTAAAAAAAACCCCAGGGCATTGAGTCAAGTACTTACAAATATAAAACAAGTAAGCATAATTGCATAGATTAGCTAGTAAAAATTCAAATTCAGACAAAAATAAAACACCGAATTTAATTCAATAAATGTAAAGGACTCTTTCAAGTATTCTCTTGATTTTTACATTAATGTTGCATGCATTGCCCTTTTACAACATGTTTTCTTTTTTTTTTTTTTGGCACAGTTTCTCTCGGATTAAAATATAATAAATCTTAGGAAAGCAAGTTGAAAAAAGAAAATTTTTCCCACAAGCGTCAGTGAAGATTAATGAAAATACATTTTGGAGCATTTAAAATAGTACATTTGAAAAGAGTAGTCATATTAAAAAAATTTTTAGGAACAAAGTATTTGCTAGTATTGGTTCAATAAAGTCATCACCACACCAACTATTACATATTACCCCTTGCATTCACATCTAATCAAATTAATTACCCAAGTAACAGATCCAATGAATTAAATATAATTTTATATATAAATGCTTAAAATATGGTCAAATTCTATACTTAGAGATATAATGCTTATTTCACTGGCAAAAATTTAAAAATCCTCCCCTCAAAGGTCATTCTATTATTTCTATTATTTTTCCTTCTGTAAGAACTATTTTGTTTGAAAGACTTAGCTTAAAGATTTATTAATGTGACTATAGGGTCCTCAAAAAAAAAGCAGGCACAGCTGGTTAGTTTATGAATTATGCTGCATTAACAAGTTCAGTTGATTAGAAAGAGTGGAACACCCTGTCACCTGATACTTATAGACTATCTGCATCACAAAAAAGTGTTTATCTGATAAATTCACCAACAATTTGGTGATCTTTAATATAACTACCCTGTTCTTTTGAATATACATATACTGAACTGCATAACTTCTACTACAATAAAAAGGGCACAGATACAATCTTATACTTAACAATATAAAAGAGGTTTGGCAGATGCAGTCAGCATTGTGGACACCATTTAAACCTGTATTGTATAGCTTGTAGGTTTTTAAGTGTCTTGCCAAAAGCTTAGTTTCATGATATTTAATTTACAAAGTGTCATACTATTTAAAAGTACTCCTATATACATTTCCTTCTTGTAACATACCTCTGATTTCCAGCAGAAACATTATAAATGCTATCATAAATGAAACCTTTCTTTACAGAATAGACTATGAATCATATCAAAAATGCTTTTAGTTCCCATCTTAAAACATCAGTAAACTAATTTTTAAACAAGTATTTTAGGTATACAATTGGAAATGTAAATAGCCTGCACGTAACTATACTAATGAAAAGACTGATTCAACAGTACCATATCTGCTTAGAAAACTACCAAGTATAGTACTGTGAGAAAAACACACACACACATATATATGTATCTGTAAATAAATATATATAATTTTCTATTGAAACTTTTTTTTTAAAGTTTCACAGTATGAAGAGGTTTTTGCTGTTAATACATAAACACATACATTATATTGACGAATCTGATACAAATGTAATCTAATACGATGGTTCATTAACAAGCAGCAGTTTGACCCTTTGAGGATCACCAAAGGGGAAAAAAATCCTAATATAGGGTTCAACCAATTAAAGAATCCTTAGTAATTTTCATGAATAGCATCCTTTTGTGTCCAAACCATTAAGTCCATTTAATCAAATTTAACACATAACAAGGTGATTTCTTCAGGAGAATTTTGCCATTCAAGTACCTAAGTTCATTATTACATAGAAAGTGAAACTTTTCAATTACTGCTCTGAAAAATCAGAGAAAGGAATACAGTATTATTTTTGCTATGCAGCACTACTTTAGATTCATGATGGCATCTCATGATGCTCTTTAAAATGAGCAGTGAAAAAATAATAAAACACTATTTCAAAAATGTTGGCATATTTGGTCAAAATACAAAATATACTAATATAATAGCATTTATATGTTAAAAACACAAACATTTAAATGTTGTGTAATCATTTTAATGTGTCCAACATGAAGAACAGCTTCTCTCTTCACAATTGCCACATTTTAATTGATTATCAGTACAATATTTCTTCTGTATTTTATAAGTAACTTTTACAGGTTTTCTGTAGTAATTTTTTTTTTTTGCAAAGTATAACTTATAGCACAGTGATTTATAATTTAAGGTAATAGCTATTTTCACATTCTAATTTAGCTTTTTCTCTGTTTCATGCTTCTGAAGCTCTTTTGTTTTGTTTTTGCTTTGAGAGGTAGATTTAGTAAAGAATGGGCATATCAAACTTACTGCCAAAATGCAATTATCGACAGCTGTACTGCTAATGTGCAGTTTCTAAGAATGCTAGAAAAATTCAGAACCATTATTGTAATACTTTACTAAAGTTTTCCTTTTCAGGCTTAAATTATTAAATAATCTCATAATGTATTTAACTGTTCACAAATAGATACAAAAAAACAATGAAAGACATATATACAGGCACACCAAAATAACAACAAAACTATAATAAAAGGTTGCATATGGATGGAAACTTGTTTTGTTTGCTTTTTAAAAGTGCATTAACGTCTTTCTTTTTTGTTCTACATAAAAACACATCAAATATTCCTAATGACATTACAAGAAAAGGGAGATATCTGAAGCTACCCTTTTTAGCCATTAATTTTTCCTCCTACCAAGTTAAAGTTGAAACCCTTCCATTGGTGCTTCCTGCTGCTGAAATACAAACTGTTGTTGGTTTTCATCCACGTGAGGTACAATACTGGAGTCGTCATCTTCTACACCAAAGTAATGTTCAATCAGATCAAAAGCCTTTTGGTAAATTTCCTGATTTTCATGACTTTGAAGAAATTCGATTTTATCCAGGCCTATTAACGCAAAGCATATGTACAAAAACAAAGTTGTTACTCGAATTTCAACATATATTTAAGTCAAAATAATGAATCAATAGCATCCATCAGTCCACTGGCAATTGGATTGTTATTTTTATCTAATTAAAAAGATTAAAATATAATTTTTAAAGGTTACTTTCCATTTACAGTTATTACAAAATATTGGCTATATTCCCTGTGCTGTATACTACATCCTTGAGCCTATCTTACACCCAATAGTTTGTACTTCCCACTCCTCCACCCCACAGGTAACCACTAGTTTACTCTATAAGAGTCTGCTTTTTTGTTATATTCACTAGTTTGTAGTATTTTTTAGATTCTACATATAAGTGATATCATAACTTTAATCTAATTTTTGCACATACTGATAGCCAACACTTATGCCTTATACTTCAAGGATGAAAGAATGGGGCAATGTGGTATGAAGAATAAGCACAGGCTGGAGAGTAGGAAGATCATAGACTCCACCCTTCTAGTTGTGTGATTTTTCCCAAATAAGTTTGGTTCCTCTGTACTTTAGTTTCTGAATTTTAAAATGACAGTTTTACATTATGTAACTCCACAAGTTGTTTCCAGAGTAACTGTGCTAAATAAAAAGCACAAAAAGGGAAAGCAATAAAATAAAAATAAAAAAACTAAAATACAAGCAAGCTACCACACAAGTTCTCTCACAGAATGAGCCAAAATGTATCAATAAGGATAAATGAATACTATTTGCAAATCCAATACAGCCTATAAGTGAAACTGAAAAAGCTCATTTCGATAGTATAAGGAGAATCTACAGTGCTCTATTTTATTGCTCACAAGAAAATAATCTACATACAAGTCTGGGTGATGTTAAAAATCTTTTTCACTTATCACAGATAAACCTCTTCAATTATACGATTGCAGGATATAAGGAATAAGCAAAGTAGTCATATCTATATACAATCACAGAATAGCCTAAACTCTAGTATAACTTGGGATCAAAATAATGATTGTAGTAAGGAAATATTCTTATATCAGTGATTGATAACTTTTATTTATATGATGTTTTAACCATTGACACTATATAATTTGAAATAAAGGCAAAGTGATCTCCCAGGCTTGGTTCAAGAATTACAAATAAAAGCTTGACTCAACCATATAATATAATAGGACTTAAGACAGAAAGTGAATATTTAATGGAAATATATTGAGAGGAAAAAATACTGACTTAGATTCATGTGTTATCCTAAAATAAATTCCATGTGAGCTAAGTTAAATATTTTAAGACTCCAATCAGAAAAATCTAGCCAATAAATAAAATAATTTTCATCAAATCTCTGTGAGGACAATGACTTTGTAAACTTTGAAGGAATAGAATATTAGGCTGAACCATTTATTAATTATAAAAGAACATAGTTTATCTCATTAAATTAAAAAGGTAAAAAGGATGGGAGAAAAGCTGTATTAAAATAAACTATAAAATAAAATTAATTCAAAATTTTACAAAAAACGACAAGTTGGTAACTGGACGAAGTATAATAAAGATGTAATTGAGATAAGAAAATATACTAACACATGGAAAATACACACCACTTTCTACATGAAATAAAACAAGAAACACAGAAAAACAACTTGGTGGTACCATTTTACATTAGCTAAATCAGCAAAATCAACAAAACAAGTAAGAGGCAGTGACACTGCCGAGTAACATGCCTTCAGAAAGCAAAATGAGAAAACATATCAAAAACTTAAAAAGAAGTTTGTGCCCAAGCTCAGCAATAATATTCTTGAAATTTTATCCCCAAGTATTAACTCAACAGAAGAAAAATATTAATAAATATTATATTTTTGTATATTTTGTATTATTTTTATATTATTATTTTGTATATTATAAATATTAAAATATATTAGATATAATATTTTTAATAAAAATATTAAAAAATAAGCATCAGAAAGATGTTTATTTTGGCATATGTAAAATGCAAAACGAATTGGAAACAAACTAATGGTCAACTACAAGAGTGTGGCTAAAACCCCACTTAATATGGCTAAAACAGCATGCAACATTCTCTTTTTATAACATTATGTGGCTATTGCAAATCACAGAAAATTATGCAAATCACAGAAATTATGTATTGTTTGGAGAAAATGTAAAATTTCTCCAAAATGTTAAAAGTAGAACACCAAACTATACACGGACTGCAATTATATCAATGTAAACTAATTCTGCATAAGGGCAATGTAAAAAGGATGGTAAATAATAAAAAGAAATTGTTAAGATAATAGAATTAAGGGTAACTGTAAAAAAAAGATATCAAAAATATTATACTGCTTTTACACAAAATATTTTTATAGAATTAGAGGGGGAAAATGCCTATGGTAGATAATTAAGAATTGACTAACTCTCAACAAAGTGGGTATATAGTGAATGTACCTTAACATAATAAAGGCCATATATGACAAGCCCACAGGTAACATCATACTCAACAGTGGAAAGCTGAAAGCTTTTCCTCGAAGATCAGGAACAAGACAAGATTGTCCATTCTCATCACTTTTATTCAACATAGTAATGGAAGTCCTAGCCAGAGCAATTAGGCAATAAAAAGAAATAAAAGTCATTCAATTCAGAAATGAAGAAGTAAAACTGTCACCATTTGCAGATGACATATTATATACAGAAAATTGTAGACCCCACCAAAAAACTGTTACAACTAATCAATGAATTCAGTAAAGCCACAGGATATAAAATCAATATACAAAAATCTGTTGCATTTCTATACCCTAATAACAAACTATCAGAAAGAGAAATAAGGAAAACAATCCCATTTACAATTCCATCAAAAAGAATAAAATGCCTTGGAATAAACTTAACCAAGGAGGTTCATGAAAGACCTGTACAATGAAAACTATGATGACAGAAACTAAAGAAGACACACATAAACAGAAAGACATTCTATGCTCATGGATTAGATGAATTAATACTGTTAAAATGTTCATACTATCCAAAGCAATCTACAGATCCAATACAATCTCCATCAAAATTCCAATGGCATTTTTCACAGAAATATAACAATTAATCTGAAATTTGTATAGAACCACAAAAGAACCCAAATAGCCAAAGAAATCTTGAGAAAGAAGAACACAGCTGGAGGCATCATGCTCCCTGATTTACACACTATATTATAAAGCTATAATAACCAAAACAGTATAGTATTGGCATATAAGCAGATCAGTGGAACAGAGTAGAGAGCCCAGAAATAAACCCACATATATAGTCAATTAATTTATGACAAAGGAGCCAAGAATATGCAATGGGGGAAAAGGACAGTCTTTTCAATAGGTGATGCTGTGAAAATGATAGCTACATGCAAAAGAATGAAACTGGACCACCATCTTACACCATACTCAAAAGCTAACTCCAAATGGATTAAAGACTCAAATGTAACACATGAAACCATAAAACTCCTAGAAGAAAATATAGGCAGTAAGCTCCTCGACATTCGTCTTGGCGATGGTTTTTTGAATTTTGAAGTTGATGCCAAAAGAAAAGACCACAAAAGTAAAGATAAACAAGTGGGACCACATCACACTAAAAAACTTCTGCACAGCAAAGGAAAACATCAATAATATGAAAAGATAACCTATGAAATGAGAGAAAGTACTTGCAAATCATATACCTGGTAGGGGTTTAATATCCAAAATATATAAAGAATTCATACAACTCAATAGCATAAAACCAAACTATCCAATTAAAAAATGGGCAGAAGATCTGAATGGACATTTTTCCAAAGGAGATACACAGATGGCCAGCAGGTACATGAAAAGATGCTCAACATCATTAATCATCAGGGAAATGCAAATCAAAACCACAACAAGGTATCACTTTATACCTGTTAGAATAACTATTATGAAAAAGACAAGATAACAAGCGTTGGCAAGGATGTGGAGAAAGGGAACCCTTGTGCAGTGTTGGTGGGAATGTAAACTGATGCAACCACTATGGAAGACAGTACAGAGGCTCCTCAAAAAATTAAAAATATAAGTGTTGTATAATCCAGCAATTCTACTTCTGGTCATTTATCTGAAGAAAATGAAAACACTAACTCAAAAAATATATGAACCCTCATGTTCACTTCAGCATTATTTGCAATAGCCCAGACATGGAAGCAATCTAAGTATCCATCAAAGAATGAGTGGATAAGAAAATGTATATGTATATGTGTGTGTGTGTATATATATATATATTCATTCCATACACAGTGGAATATTATTCAGCCATAAAAAAGAAGGAAATCTTGCCATTTGCAACAACCTGGATGGACCCTAAGGGCATTACAGTCAGTGAAACAAGTCATAGATAAAGACAAATACTGTATAATATCACTTATATGTAGAATCTAAAAAAACAAACAAATAAACAAACAAAAAACGAGCTCATAGATACAGAGTACAGACAGATTGGCGGTTGCCAGAGGCAGCAGGTGGGGGGTGAATTATATGGGTGAAAGGGGCTGCCAAAAGGCACAAACTTCTAGTTTGTACAAGCTTTGGGGAAGTAATGTACAGCAATGGGGACTATAGTTAATAATACTGTATTGTATGTTTGAAAGCTTCTAAGAGAGTAAATCTGAAGAGTTCTCATTACAAGAAAAAAATTTTTAACTATGTTTCATGACATGAACTAAAATTATTATGCTCATTTTGCAGTATATACAAATATTGAATCACTATGTTATATACATGAAACCAATATATCACTTGTATCTCAATTTAAAAAATTGATAGTAATTATAAATTTTTGACTGCTTACCATATGCTTCTTCAATGAGGGCACAGTATGGATTAATGCCTATTCCATTCTGCTTACATTCTTGTTCTCCAAGACGTAAAATATTTTCAAGTCCATTTAAAGCCACTTGGACTATTTTAGAGTCCATAACAGTCAATAGGTCACAAAGTGGTTTAATGCAGCCTAAGGCTACCAAATACCTTCAGAGTAATTAAAAAAAGAAAAGTGGGGAAAAAACATTTAAAAAGATTTAAATAAATATTATTTATAGCAATGACATGAAAATATTCTTCAGCGAAATGCTACATAAACAAGTATTCCTATACAATTTCAAACATCAAAAAATTTAAATTTTCACTTACATAGGAACCTGAAAATTCTTACTCTCCTAGTTTCATAAGTTAACATAATTAGCAATAAATGGTATTACAAATATTAGAAAAAAATACATGCAAGCAAATTGGTACTTACACCTGTTTTTGCATAGCATATGAGCACTAAGAATAATGGGCTCAAGGTTTATTTTTGGTTTTGATTTTTATGGTTAGTTAGCCCATGAAACACATGGAGTCATATGGGGAGAGGTAGAAATGAAGATGGAGAAGACATCTAAATCAAACTTCAGGAAATTTCCCACAAAAACAATTGTAGTTAATGTTCTAAAACATCTGCTGTGTTTCAGAAGCATAGACGGCTTCTAGGAGCAAAACAGGCCATGTTGTGAATAATTTTAATAAATAATGATCACAAAAACTATTCTACTCATTTCCTAATGCTTTTTTCCTTTTCTAGTTGTTATTAGCTCCTTAAAGTAACTGATTTGTTCACTTGGCAAAAAGTCCACATTAAGCATGTCCTGAGGTCCATATTAAATATGCTCTGAAGCCAGGCTGCATGGCTTCAAGTCCTAATTCCACTCCTTATTAGTTGTGTGATTTTTGAGTAACTTCTCTGTGCCTCAGTTTCCACATCTTAAGTGGGAATAATAATAGTACCAAACTCAGAAGGTTGCTGTAAGAATACTGCAGGTATTCAGTAACAGTTTCCATCCCCCCACCCCCTGGCTTTTTTAAATGTGCATACCTTCACTGGAGCACTCACTTGCCATATACTATTATTACTGTGACTGATCAAATATAATTGCTGAATGAATAACTATCTCACAGAGTTATAAAGTTAAAGAAAAGAAAATACTTGAAAGTATCTGATGCACTGCTGATGCTGAATAATTGAAACGACTTAGCACAACAACTGGCACTCAGTAAATATTAGTGATATGCATGCTGAACCTTATCTGAGATCAAGACTTCTTCCCATATATGTAGAGTTAATGAAATAGTGAAAACTGGCTAGAAAAATAATGATCGCAGTTTGGACACCTGATTCATACTAATACTTTTTTTTTTTTTTTTTGCGGCACGCGGGCCTCTCACTGTTGTGGCCTCTCCCGTTGCAGAGCACAGGCTCCGGACGCGCAGGCTCAGCAGCCGTGGCTCACAGGCCCAGCCGCTCCGCAGCATGTGGGATCTTCCCAGACCGGGGCACGAACCCGTGTCCCCTGCATCGGCAGGCGGACTCTCAACCACTGCGCCACCAGGGAAGCCCCATACTAATACATTTTAAGGAATAATATACGGAACAGACACAAAGATGAAAATAAATTGAAAAAAATACAACTGTTTATAGGTGGACAAACTTTGGGCCCCTAAGCAGATAAAAATAGCACCAGCATTAAAAAAAATACAAGTTAGAACAAATGAAAGACCTTGTTTTATTACTCTTGTATTCATGACACAAATGAAATGGAAATAATACTAATTAAATCAAAGAAGAGGAATGGAAAATAAAAAGCAGAGACAGATGTTATCAACATGTAGAGATATGAATCTGAGAAAAGAAGATAACAGTAGAAATGAAGGCAATAATAGACAATGATCTCCCAATAAGCAGATTTCAAAATCCTCTACGTGATTTGTAAAATGGCATAGCAGACTGACTTCTTGTTTTATAAATTAAGAAATAAATCAAATATGCATTAGAAAATATTTCCTAGTCACTTCAAGAAACCTAAAAAGTCCTGAGTTTCATGAAGGGATCCTCAAAACAAGAAGATTCTGTAGGAAGTCAGGCTTTTATAGAATTGCAAAGTAGAATTTTGCTATCAAGGAAAAAAGAGTAAAAGCAGGGAATTCCCTGGCGATCCAATGATTAGGATTCTGTGCTTCCAATGCAGAGGGCATGGGTTCTATCCCTGGTTAGGGAACTAAGATCCCGAAAGCTACAAGATGCAGCCAAAAAAAAAAAAGTGAAAGCAGAAGATGAAAAGAGATTTAGGAATTGCTAATAAAAATTATAATAAATTATAATAATGATAATAGCTAATCTTAGTACAGACCTTAACGTTTAGGCACCATGATAAAGCACTTTAAATGTACAAATTACATTTAATTGTCAACATACTACCACAAGGTACTATCCATTATTGAATCCATTTAAAAAATGAAGAAAACTGTGGATTAGAGAGACTAAATGACTTTGTAAAGGTCACACATCTTTTATTAAAGGAACAGGATTTGAAAGCAGGCTGACTTCAAAGCCCATATACCTATTATTTATATTGTTAGTAAAAGAAACAAATAAATAAACAATAAAAGGCTAGAATCAAAAAGCTATCCTAAGAAAAAAAAAGAATAATTTATGGAAAAATAAAAGTGAGATACTATCCATAGGTAAAGCTAACAACCAATTAGGAATGTCTGTTTCAATTTTATTTTAAATAAGTGGATATTTAAATTTATTAGCCATTTTATAAAGTTACATGCATGTGATTTTAATGACCTAAAAAATACTTAATGCCCATGATAGTATATTTTTCAAATTAACACAGGCTTCTTCCTCAGATTTTTTAAACCTCTGATTTTTCATAAGTAGTCTGCCAAGGAGAATGATGTTAATTATACTTTAAATGAAAAAAATAACCACTGTGAATGAATAACTGATATAACAAATGCTGTCATTTCATATTAGAAATGCTTAAGAAACTTAGAAATAATGTTTTAGTTTCATCAACAAATAAAAAATATGTATTATTTGAAATTTTGTCCTATTTACATTATTTATAAAACAGTTTTAAAAATCTGTTTCACACCTTATCTGTTCTGGAGTGCCTCCTGATGTCGCATTAGTTATCGCCCAAGCTGCTTCTTTCCTGGTGCGAAACTCTGCTTTCTGAAGAATCTCAATTAATACAGGAAAAATATTTGCATCTATAACACCCTGAGGAGAAAAAAATAATCATAATCAATGCAAATACTATTTAAAAAATATTAGGAAGTAGATGAATTTTGAAACTTGTTGGCTTTAAAATGTCAGACTTTTTGGAAACACCTTTGGAAATATTTTATTTCCAATCTTCCAACAAAATTTCACATACTTTCTTTTTAAGACTGGAGAATATATTAGCAGAATATAAATTTTAAAGATGATAAAGCACCAACATATGATTGATCAAAATGCATTAGTAATCACTGACTCAAGGAGCTTGATGGGACACTAATAAATCATTATTTAAAAGCTTTGAGAGGAAGATCATTGCCTAACTTATATTTAAGCCTAATGAAATTCAATCCCTTTTTAAAGACTAAATGCTACGTGTCAGGCACTGTACTAGAATGCCTACTACAAGTAAATGTTATTTTAAAGGAGGAAAGTCCAGTTCTTTAAAACACTTTTCAAGAATGTTTTAAGAATCTTTTTTTAGTAACTCACTAAAAACAAATCACTGATAAAATGCTGACTTTTGCCCAAAATGACTCCTGAGATCTTCTTGTTTTTTCAGATCTGAAAGGTATTTACCTGAATCTGAGCTCTATTTCCAGCAGTGATATTTGAAACAGTCCAGCAGGCTTCTTTTCTGATTGACTCCTTTGAGCTACTCAATAAGTGTAAGAGACAGGGTAATGCAGAGCAATTCAAAATTACCTAAAACAAACAACAACAACAAAAAAAATGGAAATAGAAAGTTTTATTGGAGAAAAACTACACAAAAATATACTAATTATTTGGTACAGATGAACCGGTTTGCAGGGCAGAAATAGAGACACAGATGTAGAGAACAAACGTATGGACACGAAGGGGGGAAAGTAGGGGGTGGTAGTGGTTGGGAGATTGGGACTGACACAGATACACTAATATTTATAAAATAGATAACTAATAAGAAACTGCTGTATAAAAAATAAATAAAATTCAAAACTTCAAAGAAAAATACTATTTAGAAACACAAAAATCATTCTGCATTAAAAATCATTAATTGCATTGAGAAAAAAGAAAAAAGCAATTCCTCTCAAAGTAAAACTTAAGCACTTGCTGTCTTCTACCCTCCCAATTTGCCAAAAGTTGTTCAATGTTGGTGTAGTGAAGTGCCCTGTTCTCAATTCACTCATCTGCAAATAAAAGCAGCATATTCAGAGGTGTGTCCTTCAAGTTTACAAATACATTCAGAGTTCGACTGATACAATTATTTGAAGAGAGATTTAGTGATTGGTCAGCAACCATCCTCTAAGTTTTGCCAAATGAAAAAAATATACAGGGAAAAATATATCTATCTATCAACATATCTCAAACAGTCTGAAAGTATCTAATTCCATAACTGTTACGAAACCTTAATGTGTATAAGTCTGTTTGTTTCATTAAAATTTTTACTGTTCCATTTTCCATTTTCCTTTTCTAAGTAAGTATAGTCTGCTTTGTCTCTTTACATTCTTTATTCCATGGCAAGATTAATTATGTTCCATTTTCACAGTACCCACAATGATTTACATTAAGTTTACTTGGTTAAAAACATATGAAGCAGTGCACTGAAATTCTGCTCAAAACAGTGTATGTTTAGAAGTGCATTTTATTTTAAAGAGCTATTTTAAATTAATAACTATCAATTTCTAAAGATCTGTTTGATAACTAAGGTAAGTATCTAAATATGACTTTAAAATATTAAAACTGAAAGAACGTAGATTAGAATAAAAAGTTTACTTTATGATGGCAAACAAAGGAGGATTTAATGTTTCAGAGTTTAAGCTTCAAGAAAGACCACCCCACATCTGAAGTCAATCTGACAACACACCTTTTTTTCTTGACACCTCACCATCCTCCAAGATAGGCAGACAAAGACACACACACACACACACACACACACACACACACACACACACACACAGTTAGTTACCAATCTGGAAATGTTTCCTTGCTATCGTTCCTTCCATTCTCATAATCAGTCTTCAATTTACTATAAAAGGCCCTTCCATTTCCAACCCCACTTTTAACCTATTTATAACCAATCACCATCTCACTAGCAGTTTCTTTACCAGTCAAGTTTAACGCTTCTTAAACATAACTCACACGTCTGTCTCTGTACCTACGGTCACATGAATTTCTTCTAGTCTGCTGAAATTCTTCTCCACTTTTAAGATTTAGCTTTAGTTCCAACTCCTTTATGGAATCTACAAAGAGTTCTCAGCACACTGATCTCTTTTTAAAATTTTTATACTATTTACTGACAAATCAGTTCTCAGCAAACATACTACCTCAGGTAATTTGCTTTGTTTCAATATATATTTTCTCCTCAATTGAACTGTAAACCCCTCAAGAGCTGAACTCCTATCTTGTACTTCTTTATATCAATATAGGTCTAGGATAGTGCTTTCAGATAGAGGTATCTGAGATGGATTGCTTACTATCAAAAATATGCTTACTGTCACATTGTAGATGCCTGCATAATTATGGTAATGCTAACACCTTGATTAATATGTAATCAAGTGGTATGAAACATGATAAACTTCTTAAAGTTCATTATGTCACCAGTTCATCACATTAAAGTCTGAACTCACCTGTGTTTGTATATCATCACCAGTCACAATATTACCAACTGCTCTTAATGCAGGTGATACAACTTTATAATCATTGTGCCTAAAAGTAATAAAAATATGAACTTACACACTATACTAAAATTTACAGAAAATTTGCAAAAATTGTACAGAAAATTCTTGCATACTCTCTACCCAGAGATCCCATTCAAGTTTCACTAATTATCTCAGTAATATTCCTATAACAAAGAATCTAACCCAGAATCATGTGTTGCACCCATGTCTCTCTAGTCTCTTTCAACTCAAAACAGTTCCTTAGTTTTCCCTTTGACAATCACAAGCTAGTTATTTGGGGGTTTTTTTGTTCAGTGATTAAGACCAAGTTATATGCTTTTGGCTGAGATGTCACAAATGCTATACAGTCTTTTCATTACATAGTATTGGATGGCATATGGTATCTATTTTGTCCATTATAGTGGTACTGGCCTCTGGTCACTTAAGATGGTGTCTCCCAGATTTCTTCACTTTAACATTACTGTTTTTCCCTTTATAATTGTTTTGTGAAGAAATACTACTTTTGGACTATGTAAAATCCCATTCCTTAACCTACTTTCACCATAAGTTTTAGCATATCTTGATATTTATTGTCTGAATTATTAATAATTATTAGTATTGTTGCCCATGATGATTTTCTAATGCTATCACTTCAACTATGTGTCTTTTCTATCTATTGATCTATCTACTTATTTTAGTGTGGACTCATGGATTCCTATTTTATTCAATAAGTTATGTTACTACAATTTATTTCAATGCTCAAATCATCCCAGGTTTAAGCAGTAGGAGTCCCTTCAAGTGGACTTCTGTGGGCTTTTGACATTTCTCTATTCTTTGAGTACTCATTACTTTCTGGGTTCATCTTATTTTTTTCTCAGTTCCAGCCCTGGAGTTAGTCATTTCTTCAAGAACCTGTTAACTCTATGTGGTGGAGAATAGTGTTTAAAAACCAAGATTTATGCATTTGGTGTGCTCATCTTGTTAGTACAGATGTGTCACTGCTCTCAGGCCCCTAAGAGGACACATAACATATATACACATATATTTACATATACATTTTTTTCTATATCTATCTTTTTATGATGAAAGCCATGAGTTCACACTGATACCTCTACTTCAGATCTAATAACACAAGATTATTTTGGCTTTTCTCCTTTTCATATGTATATCTCCATTTTCTAAGAATAAGAAGCTGGCTTCTATGATCATAATCTCTCTATATATGACCAGTCTTCTGATCCAGCTAAGCTGCTATCCTATCCTGTAGTGTGTTGGCTCCAACCCCTGTTCCAGCCTGCTTATCTGCTCTGCTCTAGTGGGTGCCATCCTTAACCTGGGTCCTGATCTGATCCCCCTGTTGGATCTGCCTTCCCATCCTTCTCAGATGCTGTCCTCAAGCTAAGGGCTATAACCCCTTATCGAACCTCTCTTTTTCTACCATCTACCTTGTTTAGGCCTACCTAATGGTTTTCTGACAAAAGAAGAAAGGATGAAAGATTATACACTTTTTAAAAAGAAGACGATGAGGAAACTACAATATCTTTCTAAAACAAGTTTTCTTACAACTTTTTAACTTCTTTGTAAAGCAAATCTGTTCTTTTTAAAGAAGGTAGCAATAACAGCCCAGCAAAGAGAAACATGATCTTTAATACAAGTGAAATACTAAATGTTTTTCACTGCACGGACTTATACACAAATTAATTACTGTAATGAACAATTAACTAGATTATTAGTTCTGTGAGAGCAGGAACTGTATTCCATACATCACTAATACATTGCACAACACTAGCAGGTAATAGGCATTTCATAAATACTTGTTGAATTAAGTCCCGCCCACTCCTGAAGAGATTAAAACTAGTAAAATTCATTAACAAACTGATTAGTTCCAAATAGAGGATATAAGAACTAAGTTTAAGGGTCAAATTCTCAGTATTATAGCTATTCTGCAGAGTGGACTTGGTAGCTTTTCAATCCTTCCTGAAGATAGTGATTCTTGAGATGTTTAGAAGGCCATTACTCTAACTGCTAAACTTAAAACACAATCATACACTTATTAACCATAAATTATAGTTACATCAAAAGTTCCACCAATCTTCGACAGACTCCAGAATCAATGACAGCTTGAATTTTATCATTGGATCCATCGGAGAGATAAGAAAGGGCCCAACACACATCTGCTAATACATCTGGGTCACTGCTAAACAACAATCGTGACAGGACATTTAAGCAAGGTGAAACCTGGAAGGGAAGAAAGAGCCAGTATTTAAAATTTTTCTCTATCTAAAACAAAGTTTCTGTAGGAAAATTGTTTCTACTCTGTTTAAAATGAAAATTTAATGCTACAAAAATACCAGAGAAACTAAGACATTCTATTGTTTTAAAATTATGATCATGAAAACTATATATAAATATGAAACTGATTACGATTCCTATTTATCTTATATTGAATAAGATATGTGGTAATTTAAAGTTCTTAAAAATAATTAAATACGTATTTGGGATGCCCTGTCTATGTCCAAATCATACACACACACCCTCAATGATTTAAAAAACAAAGTCCTACAGAGTTCTAGTTTTAAGAAAGTAAAATAAAAACATTTCTGTTTCTGGCTTCTCAGAAACAAGGAAAAGAAGAAATAGCAATACAAATCTCATCTTTGAGGAGTCCAGTAGACATTTATACCTGACCACAACTGGTGAACTACAGAAACTGAACTTTGGGGTATCAAGCATAGAGGAGGTTGAAATTAAACACTGGATTGGAAACTATAGAGATTAAGTAAAAGTTACATACTGATTGAATTGAAAACTTCCAGCCCTCTTGCAATTCCCAGCTCCCAGATCTCCAGTGGTATTACCTAGTCAACCCAATCTACCCACCTTCCAATAGGAGAGTGGAAAATCTGTCTCTAGAGAAACAAAACGGTTTTAGAAAACATACTGAAATTTTGAGTTCCTCAAAGAAAATATGGTTTTGCTGCCCAATTATCCTACAATGAAGCCCATAAGATAACAAGCCTGTACACCCATCTTCCAATCAGCTTTTTAGTGCCTGCCTCCTGAGTATTTCCAGCGTGTCAAGGATCACCAGATATATGAGGAGAGCCTCCAGTAGGAAAGAGATCAAGACAAACAAACCATAAACAAAACAAAAATGTAGACAGACATCAGAAAAAAGAAAACTTCCAAAATTATAAATCCACAGATAAGAACATTTGCTGAAACCATAAAAGAACAAAATTCTACATGAAGATGAGCAATCAAAGAACAAACAAAATTATTGTTGAGAATATAAAATATGATTGTGGAAATAAAATTTCAAAAAAATCTGAATGATAAAGGAATCTCCTTCATAGAAAATCACAGAAAATTTACTTAACAAAAGTCTTAAGCCCTATTAATGGGATATTACACTGTAAGTTTGGGATATGTAAGTAAACAAAAAAGACCAAGATTCCTAACTCTAAAGAGTTTACACTTTAGAGGAAGATTTTTTTTAAGTTAATATAAATAATAAACACATATTATGTTAAAAGGTCTTAAAAAATGAGAGTAAAATGTGGGGGTCCGTGGCTGGGGGATAGTGACAGATTTACACTAAATACAGTAGTTAGGGTAGAGCTCATGGAACAGGTAACTTCTAAGCAAAGACTTAAAGATGAGGGAATTAGTCAGGTAGATATTAAGCAGTGTTGTAGGGCAGTGGCTCTCAAAGTGTGGTCCATGGACCCCCTTGAAAACTTTAGGGGGTCTTTAATGCCAAAACTATTTTCATAATTATACTAACACATAATTGGCCTTTTTTATTTTGTTGACATTTGCATGAAAAATATAAAAGAAATGGTGGGTGTCATACAGAGTGAAGTAAGTCAGAAAGAGAAAAACAAATACCGTATGCTAACACATATATATGGAATCTAAAAAAAAAAAAAGGTTCTGATGAACCTAGGGGCAGGACAGGAATAAACATCCAGAGGTAGAGAATGGACTTGAGGACACGGGGAGGGGGAAGGGTAAGCTGGGACGAAGGGAAAAAGTAGCACTGACATATATACACTATCAAATGTAAAACAGATAGCTAGTGGGAAGCAGCTGCATAGCACAGGGAGATCGGCTAGGTGCTTTGTGACCACCTAGAGGGGTGGGATAGGGAAGGTGGGAGGGAGGCACAAGAAAGAGGGGATATATGTATACATATAACTGATTCACTTTGTTATACAGCAGAAACTAACGCAACATTGTAAAGCAATTATACTCCAATAAAGACATTAAGAAAAAAAAGAAAGAAACGGTGGGTAAAACTATCAGCACATTTGCACAAATCAAAGCAGTGATACCAAAATGTACCACAGATCTTTGTATTCTTCATGTCCACACACTTGTAGTTAAAAGTGGGGAGGAAGAATAACCTTGAAGAAACAGTAAAAATTACTAATTTTATTAAATCTCAACCCTTGAATATATGTCTTCTGAATATATTGTGAGATAAAATGGGAAATACACATAGAACACTTCTGCATATCAAAAAAGTAAGACGGTGATCCCCAGGAAAAACACTCATTTGAGTTACAAGCTGAATTAGCTATTTTTTCCCATGGGAATATCATTTTTACTTAAAAGACTGTTAATCGTTACTCAGTCTTAGATATTTGGCAGACATTTTTTTTTGGAAAATAAAGTGAGCCTTTCCATTGTATATCTTTTGATTTTATGTATGTGCAAATATTGTCTAGTCAATAAAAAAAGTAATTACTAAAAAAAGAGTAAAGTTCCTTTAATCTCTAAAACTCTATAATAAGGAGAGTTAAAAGTTTATGTAGACAGATTCCTTAATTTGTGTATTTTACAAATACCTTACTAAAGTTTGGAGGAGGATTTTTGCCTCTACATAAATTTGAGAGGGCCCATACTGCATTTCTGGTTGTTGTAAGTCTGTTTGAATTTGTTAATAACCTGCCAAGAAAAAGAAAAAAGGAATTGTCACTTTACATTCATTTTTCCTCTTTAGCTGTTTTCTACTATCATAACATAAAAATTCTTAATATATTTTATAAGGAATTCAAACCGACCTGGTAAAATAGGAAAAGGAATTTTTTTAAATTCATTATATTTCCAGAAACAAAAATAAACATATCACAGCTCTATTTTGAAAATTTTAAAAATATGACCTGAATGGATTCTTATAAGACATAAAACATGTTCAAAATAAAGAGTGCCATGGTAAACTGACTTATTAATTTCTATATATTTTAAAAAGAGTATATTATTAGATTACTTTTTTTAACTGTGAAAATAATACACTATACAAATTCATGAAGTAAGGACTACAGAGTCAAAGTGAATGAAGATCAGCTGTTGAGAAGAGATAGTTTGTTTTCTTTTGTTTTGTTTTAAACAGATTGCCTATCTTAGTATTTTCATCTGCAACCTGCTATCAACCTGCTAGAAGTACAGAGAACCTAGTTTTAAAAAAAATTCTTGTTCTGGAGTGACTTCAGCAAAAATGGTAGAGAAGGGAACTCTGGGGGCCTATCCTTCCCCAAAACACCAAAAATATTTTGCAAACTCTGTCAGAATCAACTTTATCAGAACTCTCCAAGAAAGTAAAAGTTCACAATAAGCAAGTAAACTTTTAATCAGGAAGTGGCTGAAATGTGGTAGGAGAGCTTTCTGGCAGTATAACTTGCCTTTGCCCAATCCCCTCCCCAGCCTGGAAGCAGCCTTGAAGACAAAAGCTGGAGTTCCCACTGTGAGTTCTGGTTCCAAAAGGGGCTATGGAGACTTTGTTTCCAAAGAATTGTGTTTCTCTGTTTTGACCTGTCTGGGTACTCCCTGAAGGACCAATGAAGGGCTTGCCTTTGTTTTGCCTAACCAGGAACTCGCTCATTAAGATGAATAACTGATTTGTCATCAAAAACCATGGAGGACAGAAGGCAATAATATATTTGAAGGGCTGAAAGAAAACTGTCAAAGAAGAATTCTATATCCAGCAAAATTACACTTCAAAAATGAAGGAACAACAAAAGCTGAGGAAATTCCATCACTAGTAGATCTGCTTTATAAGAATAACTATAATAACTAAAATGTCCTGAAATAAAAGGACAATAAATAATGACTCAAGACCATATGAAGAAATAGCATAACTAAAAATAACTACACAGGTAAATGTAAAAGGCAGTATTATTTTATTTTTGGTTTATAATTTCTCTTTTTTCTATGATTTAAAAGATATATACATAGAGCAATAATTACAAATCTATGCTAACAGGCACACAATGTTTAATAATGTAATCTGTGACAACAGTAACTTATTGTACAACAGAGATGTAAAGGAACAGAGTTTTTGTATAATATTGAGACTAAATTGGTATAAATTCAAAGTTGTTGTTACTTTAAGATGTTAGTTGTACTCCTTAGATTAACCATTAAGAATATAACTAAAAAATATACTAAGAAAGAAATGAGAAGTAAATCAATACAGTATATTACCAAAAAAAAAATCAATTAAACACAAAAGAAGGTAAGAAGGAAGGAACTGAGGAGGAAAAAAAGATTTAAGCCATAAGACACATAGAAAACAACAAAATGGTAGAAGTATTTCCCCATGAGTATTTACACTGAATGTAAATGGACTAAACTCTTGACTTAGAATTAAAAGGCAATGACTGGCAGCATGCATTAAAAAAAACAGAAATAAACAAAAACAATTCATGAACCATCTGTAACGCACTCACAAGACACTCCTTTTATTTTATTTATTTATTTATTTAAAGTTTTTTTTGTGTGTGTGGTACGTGGGCCTCTCACTGTTGTGACCTCTCCCGTTGCAGAGCACAGGCTCCGGACGCGCAGGCTCAGCGGCCATGGCTCACGGGCCCAGCCGCTCCGCGGCATGTGGGATCTTCCCGGACCGGGACACGAACGTGTGTCCCCCGCATCAGCAGGCGGACTCTCAACCACTGCACCACCAGGGAAGCCCAAAACACTCATTTTAGATTCAAAGATACAAACAGGTTAAAAGTGAAAGGGTGGAAGAAACATTCCATGCAAGTAATAATCCAAAGAGAGCCAGGGGAGCTATACTAGCATGAGAAAAATGGATTTAAGTCAAAAATTGTTTAAGAGATAAAGAAGAACATTATATATTGATAAGAATGACAATCCATCATGAAGTTATAACACATAGCAACAGAGCAAGCATACAAAGCAAAAATTGACAGAATTGAAGAGAAAAATAGACAGCTATAGAATCATTGTTAAAAACCTCAATATACGGCTTCCCCAGTGGTGCAGTGGTACACTCCATGTTAGATCACAAAGCAAATCTGATATATTTTCAAAGATTGAAATCATATAGAGCACAACGAAATGAAACAAAAAATCACTAAAAGAAGGAAAATTGGAAAATTCACAAATATGTGGAAATTAAGTAACATACTCTTACACAACCAATGGGTCAAAAAAACTCCCAAGGAAATTAGGAAATACTTCGAAATAAATGAAAATGAAAACCCAACATGCTAAAACCTACAGAATGCAGTGAAAACTCAGAGGGAAAATTATAGCTGAAAACACCTACATGAAAAAAGAAGATCTCAAAAAAATATAACATAAACCTTCATCTTAATTAAGAAACTAAAAAAATTAGAGCAAACAAAACCCAAGCTAGCAGAAGGAAGGCAATAATAAAGAGCAGAAATAAATGAAATAGAGAAGAGAAAAACACTAGAGAAAATGAACTAAATCAAAAGTTGATTCTTTGAAAGAAAAATCAACAAAATAAACAAACTTTTACCTAGACTGACAAAGAAAAAAAGACTTAAATTAGGAATGAAAGTGGGGATATTACTACTTATCTTTCGGAAATACAAATAATTATAAGAGAATACTATGAACAATTGTAAGCCAACAAACTGGATAACCTAGAAGAAATGAACAATTTCTCAGAAACACATGAACTACCATGACTCAAGATGAAACAGAAAATCTAAATAGATACATAACAATAAAAGATACTGAACCAGTAATCAAAAACTTTCCAATAAAGAAAAGTCCAGCACAAGACAGCTTCATTGGTAAGTTCTACTAAACATTAAAGAAATCCTTCTCAAACTCTTCCAGGAAATAGAAGAGAACATTCCTTTTTTTTTTAAAAATCTTTATTGGAGTATAATTGCTTTACAATGGTGTGTTAGTTTCTGCTTTATAACAAAGTGAATCAGTTATACATATATATATGTTCCCATATCTCTTCCCTCTTCCGTCTCCCTCCCTCCCACCCTCCCTATCCCACCCCTCTAGGTGGTCACAAACCACCAAGCTGATCTCCCTGTGCTATGCAGCTGCTTCCCACTAGCTTATCTTTTACATTTGGTAGTGTATATATGTCCATGCCACTCCCTCGCTTTGTCACAGCTTACACTTCCCCTCCCCATATCCTCAAGTTCATTCGCTAGTAGGTCTCTGTCTTTATTCCTGTCTTACCCCTAGGTTCTTCATGACATTTATTTCCTTAAATTCCATATATATGTGTTAGCATACAGTATTTGTCTTCCTCTTTCTGACTTACTTCACTCTGTATGACAGACTCTAGGTCCATCCACCTCATTACAAATAGCTCAGTTTCGTTTCTTTTTATGAGTGAGTAATATTCCATTGTATATATGTGCCACATCATCTATCCATTCATCCGATGATGGACACTTAGGTTGTTTTCATCTCCTGGTTATTGTAAATAAAGATGCAATAAACATTTTGGTACATGACTCTTTTTGAATTATGGTTTTCTCAGGGTATATGCCCAGTAGTGGGATTGCTGGATCATATGCTAGTTCTATTTGTAGTTTTTTAAGGAACCTCCATACTGTTCTCCATAGTGGCTGTACCAATTCACATTCCCACCAGCAGTGCAAGAGTGTTCCCTTTTCTCCACACCCTCTCCAGCATTTATTGTTTCTAGATTTTTTGATGATGGCCATTCTGACCGGTGGGAGATGATATCTCATTGTAGTTTTGATTTGCATTTCTCTAATGATTAATGATGTTGAGCATTCTTTCATGCGTTTGTTGGCAGTCTGTATATCTTCTTTGGAGAAATGTCTATTTAGGTCTTCTGCCCATTTCTGGATTGGGTTGTTTGTTTTTCTGTTATTGAGCTGCATGAGCTGCTTGTAAATTTGAGAGATTAATCTTTGGCACTTGCTTCATTTGCAAATATTTTCTCCCATTCTGAGGGCTGTCTTTTGGTCTTGTTTATGGTTTCCTTTGCTGTGCAAAAGCTTTGAAGTTTCATTAGGTCTCATTTGTTTATTTTTGTTTTTATTTCCATTTCTCTAGGAGGTGGGTCAAAAAGGATCTTGCTGTGACTTATGCCATAGAGTGTTCTGCCTATGTTTTCCTCTAAAAGTTTGAAAGTTTCTGGCCTTACATTTAGGTCTTTAATCCACTTAGAGCTTATTTTTGTGTATGGTGTTAGGGAGTGATCTAATCTCATACTTTTACATGTAGCTGTCCAGTTTTCCCAGCACCACTTATTGAAGAGGCTGTCCTTTCTCCACTGTACATTCCTGCCTCCTTTATCAAAGATGAGGTGACCATATGTGTGTGGGTTTATCTCTGGGCTTTCTATCCTGTTCCATTGATCTATATTTCTGTTTTTGTGCCAGTACCATACTATCTTGATTACTGTAGCTTTGTAGTATAGTCTGAAGTCTGGGAGCCTGATTCCTCCAGCTCCGTTTTTCTTTCTCAAAATTGCTTTGCCTATTCGGGGTCTTTTGTGTTTCCATACAAACTGTGAAATTGGAGGACGATGTTGGCTGTGGGTTTGTCATATATGGCCTTTATTATGTTGAGGAAAGTTCCCTCTATGCCTACTTTCTGCAGGGTTTTTATCATAAATGGGTGTTGAATTTTGTTTAATGCTTTCTCTGCATCTATTGAGATGACCATAT